AACGTGACCTTTTTTGACAAAAACGACATTCTGAGATTTACTTTTTGGTTTTGGTTTCTAGTAATCTTGTGTCTTTACTCAGGGGGTGCCTTGGACATTTCGTTGCATTGCCGTCTTGCACTGCAGCACAATGACAATAAAGTTATGAATTCTACTTCATTATCTGTTAGCATCTAATTTGAATGATATAGCTTTATCTCTCTCCTGCCTTCTTAAGGTGAAGAGAACCAGCAAGATGGAAACCAAAGTGGCATCAGAGCCAGTACCCAACGGTGTGACGAAAGGAGGGGCGAGGATTGTAGTGGACGACGATGAAGATGTTCTTAGGTATGGAAGAAATGATCAGCTGTTTGTTCTGAAACTGGCAAATTGTAGACATGATTTAAAACACACAGCTAAGTGCTAAGTTCTGTCCCCTTTCCTCTCACCGCCTGTCCCACCAAGTCCAACCGACCTCTCCGAGATGTTAGCCGAGGGGACCAAGGAGTCCCACGACAGAGCAGAGAACTGCCAGTTTGTCAAAGATTTCCTCAGGGGCCGCATCCAGAGAGAGCTGTTCAAGGTAGTATCTTGCATCTGTGTCATACATCGTGATTCCACTTTTTTTTTGGTTTTGGATTTGATAGTCCCAGTACAGACAGAGATGAAATGTGGGGTAACAGAGCAGGGAAAGGACACGCGGTTAGTCTCGTGCCAGCTGGCATTTGCAGCCATGTGGTTTGCAGCCTGACTGTTCAGCTATCAGGTTTCCCAACAAGTCCAACTTGTTATGATAACTAAAGAAGATAACTATATTTTTAAAGAAGTAAATCTAATGCACTTCCTCTGGTTTTTTCTCTGCCACTAACAAACACCACAGTAACCCTAAGGTACTGGTTCACTGACACGTTCTCTTATCTGCATTAGGGCTTATCAAAACATACTTTCTGTAAGACAGTGGAAATGAGCAAATCCTGCAGCATTCTTGGCTCATCCATAAGACACTTGCCTTGAGAGTTGCCAGCCTAATATGCTATCCATTTTGGCAAGCAGAATTATGTAGCACAGCCTGGTCAAATAGTTAAAGTGTTGTGTTGTGTTGTACAGCATGCAATACACAGTAATTTATCGTACTTATACGTTATTGCTTTTTACTTTATAGGCACTGCATTTCTTGTGTTATGTCATTTGTTTATTCTGAGCAATATCTGGCACAGGAATTTCCTTCAGGAGTAATGAACTTTTATCTTATGTTATCTTTATCAGGGAGAGACATCAAATTTCAATTTGCAAAGCAGAGACTAAATGTAAAGGGGGAAAAAAAGCAAATATTCACTAAATAAAGGCAAAAAAAAGTGAGGCCAATGAGATGTGAGTTTGTGTAATTAGGAGGTGTTGCAGTGGAGGTATGGCAGATTTTGTGTTCTGTGGTGAAAAACAACAACAAATAAATACAGATGCATAGAAGAGTCCTACAGAAATGGCTGCCGTTGGATCTTTTTAGGTGCACAACAGCGTCAGATCAGGTGCCAGTGTACCGACTTATTACCTGCAACAAACAGGAAAAATAGGTCAACCACCAACAGTAACTATAAATTTGGGGTGATACAATCTAGATGTGTGCTTTGCCTTGGTTGTAACAGTGAGAAACAATATTTCCAAAGAAATTAGCAAAACTTCTGCAGTCGAGAACATCAAAACCACAATTCACCAGTATGTGATGTGTGACTGTTTCAGACATTCAAGTTTATGTTTTATGTGTTTGCCACTTTTTTCTTCCTCTTCCTCTGTTGTCAGAGAGGCACAGAAGCTCTGTACTTCGTCTACTCTGCCATGGAGGAGGAGATTGAGAAGAACAAAGATCATCCTAGCATCGCTCCAATCTATTTCCCTACAGAGCTGCACCGGCGTGAGGCCCTGGGTCGGGACCTTGAGTATTTCTATGGGGAGGACTGGGAGAGCCAGGTGAGCAGAAGCACACAGAAGCTGTGAGTCAGTCGCAGTAGTTAAAGGTTACAAGGAGAAACTTGATCGGTGCCTCTTAAACCAAGACTGAAATTAAATAGTGTGATGACTACCAAGGTTTTTCCACCAAACTTATGTGTGCAAAATGTGTTAAGGTATTATTATAGTTATTTCTTTTAATCAAAACTCTACATTGTCTTCTTGAATCCAAAACAGAACTAAGCTTACAGCAGTCATTCATATTCAAATCTTAACAACTCGAAAGCCCACAGCTGTGTTCTGTCTCACAGATCAGCCTCTCTGCAGGCACCAAGCCATACGTGGATCGCATCCACGAGGTGGGAGAGAAGGACCCAGTGTTGTTGGTGGCCCACTCCTACACCCGCTACATGGGCGACCTCTCAGGGGGACAGATCCTCAAGAAAGTGGCTCAGAGGGCTCTGAAGCTCCCCTCGACTGGAGAGGGTCTCAACTTCTACCAGTTTGAGGGAATCCACAGTCACAAGGGCTTCAAGCAGCTGTATAGAAGCAGGATGAACGAGCTGGAGCTGGATGTTGAGACCAAAGAGAGGCTTGTGGACGAGTCCAATCGGGCTTTTGGCTTCAACATGATGGTGAGGGAGCAGGGAGGACATGCTGGGAGTGATGACAGAAATAATCATGATAAAGGAACACAATGCAATGAAAAGTTGACAAGAAAACACATTGTTTGGAGGGAAAAGATAAAAAATATGACAAAAAAATGCTTTTATTATGAAAACAGGTATTCACAGAGCTGGATGGGATTGGAAAGACCATAAAAGAAGAAGTCCAAGATGCAGGTTTTGGACACAGTCATGCAGAGATCATGGAGGGCGGTGATATCAACAAGTGCCCGTACTATGCAGCCAAAATGGGTAAGAAGTCATTTGTTTTATGCAGATTAAATAGAGTACACATAGTGATGCAGTCTACCTGATGAGGTTAAAGTTGAGCATTTACATTGTCCATGATGAATTCAGTCTTCTTGCTTTGTCTGTTCTCATCCTTGAATGATTTTTTCTCCCACTCTCTCCATCATCACCTCCTCTGTACAGCTGCCAGTGGAAATCCCACTTATGCCTGCCAGTTAGCCATGATGCTTCTCAGACATCCACCCTGTCAGGTGGCTCTGGCAGCCTGGGTGGCCGTCCTCGCTGGATTTGCTGCCTGGTACTTTATTTGAGCTCTGATAACCTCGATCTGCCGATAATCTGAGCAAAGAGTGGAGTACACAGCCGCATCCTACAGACTCTATCCTCTTCAGTTTGACGGGTCCTGTTAGAAAGTGGCAAATCAGAAACGGGACATTCCTAAGTAATGTTTTCTGCCACGTGTTTGATGCATTTGTTCATTGACATTGAAAAGTAAGGACTCTTATCATCTCTGAATAATTCCACTCTGTGGAACATATAGCTTTATGCTTCTAAGGCTGCTATGAGCAGCAAAGGAGCTTTTGTCAAAATGCAGTTGTTGTGTGACTATGAAAAGCCACTTTATTATGCATGCATCATGTATACTGTTTTACCGAGTACACAGAGTTTAGAGAAACTGTTCCATGTAGAAATTTGAAATGCTTATTCTTCTCCCATGTGATCAAAATATCATTAGTTGAATGTCCGTTATATGACAGTGAATTACACATTGTGCTGAATGTGTGTTGATTTCTAAACTGTGCAAATTGTTGTAGAGTTTGTCAGTTAGCAGACAACGGTTACCTCACTCACAAATGTTTTCATGACATTTGCATTTTAAGTCCATACAAACAACAGCAAACTCTCTGTGTTTGTCAACAAAGGTTAACAATAAAGTGTGCATACTTAAATAAGTCAGCATCAAGTGTATCGTTTTCTGTCAATATCGAATTAATGAGAGTTACCTCATAATTTTCTATTTACATCAAAAGAAGAGCAACTTTATTTGGTAGTCATTATTGAAAAAATGACAGTTCCAAGAGTTACAGTGCTTATTAAAACTATTCACTGCATCTGGAGGATTTCTGCTTTAGTCAATTCAATTTTTATTTTTAGACAAGAATTCGGACTGCTGAAGCATATAGGGAATCCAAATGTTTTGGATTGTTGGGTGTTTCTGTTTCTGCCTTTGTTAAGCGCTACGAGATGACTTGTTGTTGTAAATATGCGCTATACAAATAAAATTGAATTGAAATTAATTGAATTGAACTGAATTTCCTCCCCTAAAAAAACACGCATGTCAAAGTTGAAACTGATTTCTACACATTAATGTCAGTCAGGTAAAAAATATGCAGTGACTCTTCCTTGTACAGGCTGTTCTTAATTATTGGGTGACCAGACAAGAAGAATGTATCAGAATATTCTTGTTCTAATTTTCAATTTCAAATCTGACAACAGCTTCTGATAGTAAACTAAAAAGTACAAATGTGCCTCTAAAATACAGTGCATTTTAAATTAAAAAGTAGCTACAAGTACCTGAGTAAATGTGCTCAGTTAGTCTGCATCACTGTCTGTACATAACAGAAAAAGCAGCACTTGTAATTACGAAAAGTGACTGATTGTAAGTGAATGTTTTGGTATCACATTGCATCCTTTCATCTTCTCCTGGTTATATAGATTTACAGTGACATGGGTTCTTTTCTAGCTCCTTTACAACTCCAGGGGGCGCCCTATGAAAACACAACAGCTCCTGAGTGGACAAAACAGTTCCAGTGCAAAGACAGTGAGTCCACGCTGTTGGACTGTGTAAGCTATGAATCATCTTAGAAAGCCCTGCACACCTACAGGACTCACCTGCTCAGGTGAAGGAGGAACCTTTGACATACACTAGGTCATGTTTAGCAACCATCAGATGTATTTCAAAGGTCCACTCTCACTCCTACTCTCTGTGTTTTTTCATTGTGTTTCTTACAGTTTGAACATTAACACAAACAAGTTACAAAAGCTAATCTTTTACAAATGATTCACTGAGGCCAGGAAAACCATCTAATAACAGTCACAATATTTCAGTCTAAATGGAAAATGGTCTGCTCTTTTATAGCACCTTTAGCCCGAGCACGTTTTAGCATATGGAAGGGTCAAACTACAATTAATGGACAAGTTGTTCTACCCACTGAGCCACGGTCGCCCCATCTAGACCACAAAACCGACTGACCTTACAAAACATACAGTCATGGCTAAAACTGAAAATCTGAACATCTACAAGATATCTACAGGACAAAATCTATCTCCAGATGAAAGTCAAGTGCGGTGCTGAAAAGCAACAAAGATGGTCACTAAATCGTTATTTAAGGCAGCTGCGATTCTGAGAGGTTCTACTTCACAAACCATCTGGCTCAAAATGGACCTTGTAGTAGACTGTTTACGCAACGGTTTCTAAAGTGAAGAATTAAACATTAAACATGTTGTCTTGTCTCAGTTCAGGGTCTGATAATGTCAGGCTGGTAGAAGTAGGCCGTTGTCGTGCCAGCACACTGGAAGGTGAATGGAAACCAGTGTCCAAAAGTCCAAAGATTTAGTTTGTCCACAGGTGAAATGTGGCATTGCTGTTTTAGCTCAATTCTGCAGCAAACTCTGTGTGGGGAATCATGTCCTTCAGAGCTCAGTTGGGAATAGCGTTGAGAGAAAGTGTTTCATTGAGGTCCTGGCACTCCTCATACTGCTACAGCGACATCAGCCATGATGCTGATCTGTACAATTATTCATGACAGAAACTGCCACTGTAAATATATCCTGGTCATCACTGCTTCATCCCACACACATAGCTCTTTGTCTCAGTGATTAGAGTTTTGTTGTGTCTGTGTTCTCTGATGTTATTTCAGAGACATTCTGGTAGATGTTACTGCTCAGCATTAGTTAAACAAAGTGTCCATCAGTCGTCTTGCTGTGTCTTTACAGATTTGCTGTTTCAGCCAGTGATCTCCATCTCTACGCTCTTTTATGGGGTCTCAGGCTTCACAGTCAGCTGCTCTGTTAAACCACAGTACCCAGGAGGCTCTTTGCTGCTCAGGTTTACTACCTCCAACACAGCTACACCCAGAAAGCTGTCAATCAGCAAGCCCACTTTGTGATTCCTCCTGCAGAGCATGTCCACAAGGGAACCACAGCTGTGTTTATCACGTCTATGTTTTCTCTCACAGCTTCTCCTCAGAGTGCCAGCCGCTCGTTCTCACTATCTCAGGTAACATGAAGGGTAAAGCTGGACCAGACAGGGAACTGTGGCACTAGCTCTATTTACATTCAGCTTTTTGACATAACAAAAAGGTAGCATGGAGGGAAGTTATCACCTACTCCTAGGTCACATTAAACTGATATCTGATCATTTCTGTTTGCTCATATAAACTCCTGCCACTGGGAATAAGTCTAACTCAGACAATCAGTAGACTATTTTACAGCAGCAGTATTTTGTGGTAGCAGTCCAGCATTTCAATAAAGGCTTCATTTATTCTCTTGAACCCAATTTCCTGCAAATTTGTTCACTTGAGTACTTTCGTTTGCTTTAAATGAATAAGAAAGCAACAAAATAGTACCTCAGCTGTGTGATATCAGCTTATTTTTATTGAATTCTGTTGTATTCATAATGCTCAAACTTGATGTGATTGTCGTTTCATCTCTTTTTAGCCTCTCCAATAACTTTCATCATCAGACTTACCACCTTGCTGGAGACTTTGGCATTGTTTACACCTGTTATTAATTTCTACAGAAGATACAATGCACTTTTTTTGTCTTTAGAGGATTGTACATTCTGCACTCAACACACTCTTATGAGACGCCTATTGCCCGTTCTCTCCGGGCCACCTGGGGGCAACAACCTGGTGAACATTGGTACTTCCAGAGCTGATGTTGGGTCAGATGTAGAGGCAGACGTCCAGGAAACAGATCTCTAAGGGTTTAATGGTTCGACTGTTTTACACGTTCACGACTTTGTTCAGTCAGGGCCATTACAGTCACTAGTGTTTCATTTGAAGTCAAAGTGGGAGTGGGGTTTTTACTCCTTCGCATCATTATCAGACAAATACAAATGCTAGCTTGCAGGAGAAGGTTATTAATACAGCATCCTATGATTAAACTGCTCGACAGTGTGTAAAGTAGATAAAATTAGCTCCACCTCAATGATCTCCAACTTCACATTAATATAGCAGTTATAATAATCCTATAATATAATGCATATGTAACTATTATACAACTAAATCAGTGCATTTTACTGCACAATGGGTGCTTACACTTTTAATACATACAAGCACATTTTGCTGATAATACTTTTACTTACTTTTAAATGCATGACCTTTACTTCAGTGTAGAACTTGACATTGTAGTGTTGCATGTCTTATTTAATCTGCTGTGAGAAACTTTTGTCTCCCCCTTCTTGCAAAGACAACTCCAGCAAACCACTCACCGTATAACATACTGCTACCACGGCTGATAGGATTAATCAGCATTGTATGAACTCGTTTGACAATGATTTAAATGTAGCTGATATTCATTTATACAGCATGTAAAAATAACACACTCCAGATCGAAGGCTCTGAGAATTTCTCTTCTTCCACACTTTTAGAGAACAAGTCAAAACTTTCTCTGTTCTGCTTCAGCGTTATTTTGAGGTAGATCTTAGTTAGCGTTTGGTGAGTCACACTTACAATGTAACAGGACAAGAAGGAAACGTAATGCACATAATGTAAAGGTACGTAATGTGTAGTGTTGGATTTTGTACAGGGCTGCAGGGTGGTGCAGTTGGTAGCACTGTTGCCTATCAGCAAGAAGGTTGCCGGTTCCCGGTGGGGGCAGAATCTTTCTGCGTGGAGTCTCCATGTTCTCCCCGTGCAGCGTGGGTTCTCTCCGGGTTCTCCGGCTTCCTCCCACACAGTCCAAAAACATGTTGAGGTTAATTGGTGATTCTAAATTGTCCGTAGGTGTGAATGTGAGTGTGCTTGGTTGTCTGTCTCTCAGTGTGGCCCTGCGATGGACTGGCGACCTGTCTAGGGTGTCCTAAGTCTGCTGGGATGGGCTCCAGCCCCCCACGACCCTAGTGAGGATTAAGCGGTGTATAGATAATGAATGGATGGATGGATTTTGTACAAGGTCCTGACAGGTAACCTGACAATAGTCATGTTGTTTAATGTAAAACACAACTAAAATTCTAAATTCATGTTTTTTTTATCTTACATGTGACAGTCTAATTCTCCTATTCTCCAGCAGAGTCCCTAGCTTTGGAGAACGTTTTTGGTAATGTAACAGGCAACAAGACTATTTAGGCATTTGAAGTGATAGGACACTTGTACCAAGAAGATTTTAGGTTTTATTTCACTTTTTCCTGCTTTGCACATTAAAACCACTTGTTACCAGACAATGATAATCTTAGCATGTTACTGAAAACTCTTGTTACTTTGTATGTTTTACGACCACAGTCCTGCTGAGACCTTTAAATGTGCATTCCTACTTTTCAAACACAAGTTTCATTAAAAAACTACTTGATCTACTGATTTATGGTAGATACCTCAGAGCATTTATTTTAAATATTCAACATTTAATTTATATTGGTCATAAATTATTGCAGCGGCAGTCCTCCAATGTATCATCTTTTAGCTTTTTAATTATATTTCATGGAAATCAGATCACAGCATGTGACATTTTACTCATGATATTTAAGAGCCTAAGGAGACAGTTTCTTTTTTTTTGTATTTTGACAGATAATCATTGTAATCTTCCAAACACTTTTTCAAATCCCAGTTTGTCCATCACACGTCCATAATAAGTAGAGAAATACAAAGTCTGCGGACTGCTGTATCTCCTAAGTGTCAATATGGTCTCATTCAAAGTGTCCCCTGCATCTCCGATGGGCATAACATCCGACACAGGCAGGTAGATATCGTGGCGCTTTCCCCAGAAGGTCAGGTGGGAAACTTTGAGCGTGGTCTCGGACGGGTCAAGGTACATCATCCCCACAACCCTCCTGAAGAAGTGACTGGCAGCGTACAGCATGACACCAGCAAACAACGCAATCCCTGTTGAGTAGCCGAGAAGAAAGAAGGGAACTTCTCCCTGGAAGTAGAGGACGTACACTGGGGGCAAGATGACCACGGTGATTGCAGTTTGGAGCAGCTTGAGCCTGGATACAGCTCTGAGGAGCTTTATGTGAGGCAGGGTGTAAATCATTGTGTACTTCTGAGTGGACAAGTCTGAGCATCTGGTCAAGCCTGTGATTTTAGGTATTTGGGGTCCATGGAGGGTGTGTTGGACTGGTGTATGACCTGGTGAATGAAGCTGTACACCATTAGGTATCCGACCTGTGAGCAGACATGATCCTCTGGTACAGGATAATAGGTGGTTAGTTAACCTGTGCTGCAGCACTGATCTGATCTGTGAATAAAAAGCAACAATGAAGAGGTAAATTAGAAAATTAGAGCAAAAAATAATATTGAGGATTAATTCATTATCTAAAAAAAGGCACGAAAAAAATAAATCAAGTTTGTCAGTTTGTAAAACTTCCATTTCCTGAAAGCTGAAAAATCCCAGCAAAATGTAAACGTACACTGCACAGATGTTCCTGTTATTTGGAATGCTTTAAGTATTATAAGCACCATCGAGGGTGGAGCTGCATGATGTGATTGTGTCAAACATTTTAAATTCAGGTTCAGTCCACCAACAGTAAATTCCTCCTTGCCATCAGACGGTATGAGGAAAGTCATGCAGTGACATGCTTCTGTTACTGGTCTGTAACTGATTTCCTTACAGGGGAAGTAATCAGCACTAACAATTAAAATGCAGCAAGTGAACAAAATATTAACGCAGCATGTAATGTTTTATCAGATTCTATCCATTCTTGCAACATAGAGGAAGAAGTATTTGTTGTTCCATCACACAGCATCTCTACAACAGAATGAATGTCATTAAACAACCAAGAACACACTGTTTTGGAGATGATAATGAGCACATCAAAAGAAGGATCATAGAACTGAAAGTAAAATTTAGTGTGTTGACCATTTGCATTGTGTAGTGTCACACATCTGTGACACATACAGTTAATGAAGTTGTTGATACTGGTTTGTAAAATGTTGTCCTACTGTCCCTGAAGGGCTTGATGAAGTTGATAGATATTTTAGGGGCAGAATCTTTTTGTTAGACACATCTATCCAGACTTATCCAAAACCAATTCTTAAGAGCAAATGGTGGCGGTGTGGGCATTTAAGTGCAGGCTTCGGTCTGAGCTGACAACCGATCATTGTCTTTCTCTGGAATTGTATTGTTTGATTAAAGCTGTATTTCAGCAAGGCCTTTTAGAGTCACTGTTCTGAGGAGTGTCTGTGTGCTGGTCACACTCTCTGATCATTAAAGCCACACCTGACTAGCCTGTAAATTAACTCAGCTGAACAGCTCAAAAACTTATTGTGCACAATTGGCTAAATATATCCCATTTCCCAACTATAACAAGATATATAGCTTTATTGTCGAATTCAGAAAAGAAGACTATTTGCGTCCTGTGTTTACATTTTTGTTTAGTTCACAAATTAACCTCTATACAGGTCATACTCCATGTACTAACTGAGCTATCACACAGTCCTGGCAATGCAGCAGCTAGCTTAGGTTGCTAATAATCAACGTTTTACATCTTCCTGACCACTTTCAGAGCTGTACAAGCAATATGACAGTTTAAGAGACGAAAGAGGCTCACCATGACTGCCGACATGCTAAATAAATGGAAGGGAAACACAGAAACAAGGTTAACAGGTTACCAAAGTCAACGTTACATGCTGCTAGCTGTAAGCTAACCGGAAGCAGTTACACTCTGACCCGGAAGTGCTAATATGATGCTGATCGTTTTCCAAACACTTATTTACATATTTAGGTTTTCTCGTGTGCCCCCTTGTGGGAGGCTGTAAACTATAACTTTATCTGCATTTCAGTGAAATTGTATTGACATTTTAGGCAAGCTACGAGTTTTATTGATTTACTGTACATAGCTAATGCTATAACTTAGCCGGGCGGAGCATGTCCTTATCGAATATGAACCATTGCAGTAACAGGCGCCGTTACTTTTGCTGACAGGGACTATTTTTTTTTCTTTCCTGGGACATACTCGGAAGTCAGGAAGACCAAAAGAAGAGGACAATGCTGCAGCTGGGAGACGAAGTCAGCCTGTACTCGCTGGTCTTCGTGGTGGTCCTGCTGGGGACCCGCAGCCCGGTGTGGACCACCGTCCTCACCGCTTCCGTCTACCTCTTTCTTACCATGTTTCGGTTCCCCCAGGTGCCCGTTAGCCGAGCCCGCCAGGTGCTGCACCCGGCCAAGGGAACGGCGGGCTCCGGTAAGGTGTCGGTGGTCGCTCACCGAGGCGGTGGGCACGACGCACCGGAGAACACGATGGCAGCTATCCGAGAGGTGAGAGGAGAAGGAGGCTGGGAAGGTTTGAGGCACTTCGGCTTCACACTTCATGGTTCACTGACTGTGGTTATATAGAGGGTATGCGACCACTGGAGGCTGTTCAATGTTAAAATGTCCTGCCTGACAATAAGTGAAAACACGGTCACAGTTTTGCAATCTGGCAGGGAGTCCAGTTTGCACCATAAAAAGGGAAGTGAATGTCTGGACAGCTGGACTTGCCCCTGTATGAAGACACTATGCAGCCAACACACTGCCTGCTGAGTATCTATAGCAGTGATGCACCACTTAGCCTGACCAGTGTTGGAGTTTAACATGTAATAATAATATAATAATAATAATACATTTATTTTGTATAGCACTTTTCAAGATACGCAAAGTTGCTTAATGGGGCATAAGATAAAAACAGGTACAAAACAAGTTGAATAAAAAGCAGATTTTAAAAAAAGGTATACAAAAAAATGTTTTTGTTGTTTTGTTTTTTTTTGCAAAAAGACAGTCAAAGAAATGTATCCTAAAAGCATCAGTATCACCTCTCATCCAAGAGTCTTCTTTAATTCACCTCTTGAATAGGAGGTGAAATGTCTTCAAGAACCCAAAAGAGAAATCCTGTTGTCTTCTACTGAAACTCCAAGGATTACCATGACCTGGATGACTGAGAATCTACAGACACAAACAATTAGATTATTTATTATGACCACTATTACACCAGGTATTTACATGCAACCTGTATCTTGTCTGGACAGAGATAATTGCACGTTAAATTCAGACATTGAAAAACTCCTGAAAGCTCATCTCTGTGTATCACAGTTACATATTTACTTTTTTTTTTGTCCAATAAAAGTAATCCTTTTATTCCTTAAAAATGGCTTAGATGTAACTCTGTGCTGTGGCTACACAATCAAGTACTAATATCTGAGTACTCGTATAAATCAGAAGCCCATTTTGAAGAAGAATGATGATGCAGAAAGCTTAGAAGTTTACACGTTTGATTCCTTAGGTTTGTAATTCTTATTAAAAAAAAACGTCACCAGTAACCCACTGCCATCCAATCATCCAGACCACATTTGGAGGCAGTAATACATGTTTATATGTTAATCACGGCTGTAAATGGGATGTGAATGTACAGATTGGGACCTTTTGCAGCTAAAACTAAAACTTGTTGGTGCTTGTAGTGTTTGTGTTATAGACTTTGTAATAGAGATGATGTGTCTAAACAAACATTTCTTTGGTATTTCTGTGCTTCAGTTTCATCTCACTGACACGCCAACACACTCCAGCCCAGCTATATCTGCAATGGGATTTTGTATCAGCTAACACAGTGGCGCAACTAGTTTTTGGTTCAGGTGTAAACTGCCTCTAATTTCAATTCTGTTTCCCTTTTAATGTGGCATTTCATTTTGCAGTAGTTTTCCTAAATCTGTTTTAAATGAAGGTGTCAAGTTGAAAGTCAGTGGGCCTTCAGAAAAAGATCATCTTGTGTGACTTAAAAGCTAAAAAGATCATGACAGATATATCACCAAAACTAGAAACCACTTGTTTTTGTCTGTTCTGCTGCAGGCCAGTAAAAATGGGGCGACCGGCGTGGAGTTGGACCTTGAGTTCTCAGCAGACGGCGTCCCAATCCTGATGCACGATGACACCGTGGACCGGACCACAAACGGGTCAGGGCCACTCAGCCAGATGACGTTTTCACAGTTGCGCAAACTGGATGCAGCAGCTAAACATCGACTCAGGTAAGGAAGAAGCCAAGAATCCACATAGAACACACTCAGAGATGTTCAGGATTTATCCTGGTGTATGATTCAGTGCTCGTATGTTTAAAGTTACAACTAGACAGTATTTTTGTGCCTTTTCCACAAGTTTAATTAAGCCCTGAAGAAAATTATTTTGCCAGATATTGTTCTGAAATAATGTTTATTATTACTGTTATGATTTAAAATTGCAGGAAATAGACAAATGCACTGACTATGAGACTTCTGTTAACTCTTTTTAATGACAAATTAAGTAGAAAACAAGAAGGCAAAAAAATCACACTATGAAGGAGAGGAGGTGAAAGTCAAGTTGCATGAGTGCTGCTTGTGTGTTTAAAGATACAAATGAGTCAATAACCGCTCTATGTTAGCTGTGTAATAGTGTTGCATTACACTTGGAGTCAGTTCTTGCACTTGGGTAGATTTACTCAGCGAGTACTGCTGCCTGTACAGTTGAAATGTCAGAATCAGTTCGTAGTCCTTGTTTATTTAAAAAAACAAACAAGCAAACAAAAAACACTAATCTTAGGAAAGGCTGCTTCAGATTCAGAGGTAAGATACACCATTTTGTCTTCAGACACAAAAGTAAGAGTATAAACATGCAATAAAACAACAAAAAACACAAAATCATCAATACAGTTAAATTAACACAAAACAAATATAAACAAAAAAGACTACCACAACCCCAAATCACACCCATTACATATCTGTTACAAACATTGTCTGCAAAAAAACGAACAAAAAACAAGGTTATTTTTCTTATTTATTTAAAACATTCTGAGAGGAAAATAGGAAAATATTGTTGAGCAAAAGTAATAATAAAAGAATAACATAAATGAGTCAAAAAATTGTGAAAATAAGAAACAGATCTCAGCGAGTTAAACTGATTACTCCAGTGTGATCGTGCTTTAAATTAAAAAAAATCTTGCAAACTCTTCTTGCCAAGTTCTTAATTTCTAAAGCCAGCTATCGAGAGATAAATGCAAGACCACTGACACAACATTAATAACATACAATTCAAATGAATGAAGGAAGCAAAGGGAAGCAATCTCTTTGCTAATGTCTCGAAAGTAGAAAACTTGTCCAAGCCTTGGAGGCATGGCAGCAGGCAGGATGTGTCATGTGTACCTTCTGGGCTGGTTGGTGTTTGAAAGTGTTGAATCCTTTGGGCTTAATTACATTTTATTGGTGTGTGACTAATGTTTGTTTAACTTGGAGCCAACCCAATGACAGCTGCTAGGAATGCTCGATAGTTTTATAACTGCATGTGGAACGGGTCTGCAAGAAAATGTAAAAAAGACAAAATATAAATATAATAATGCTAAAAATGAACGCAGAAAGGAAAGAGGCAGATTGCTGTTAATGTAGAGGCATGCGCTTGGTAGTGTAGATGAAACAAAAGACCCAGAGAGTTTCTAAAAACAGCTCCTCTTTAAGAACAAAGGGGAGAGAAAGGTTCAAAACAATCCCTGAAAATCAAGAAGACAAACGCAGACACTATCTAAAAAAAAAACCCAACTGGATTAAAGTCAATAAATTAGAAATGTATTTAATATTTCCTTAATTTGAAAAGAGGCACAAGAGGAAAACTGATTTTCAGTGTTTCATAAGTAAAGATATGGAAGTCACAGGACATCTGCTGCATTAATAAAGAATTTATATAAAAAAGAAACATTTTAAAGTCATTGAAGACACGTCTGACTTCAATGGGATTATACTGTAATTGTAAAGGTACCATTGTTTTATTAGGTTGTCAAACGTGACCCAAAACACATTCCCTGTCTTTATTGAGAATATGACAGATGCCTGTGTGCAGCGATCACAGGCATTCCATCTTTATTCACACAAAGGAAAACAGAAAAACTCAAATGTGATATGTTCCTGGTTATTTTAAAGCCTCACTTGTTTACTTTGTCACTAGGAACAAGTTTGCTGGAGAGAAGATCCCAACTCTGGAGGAGGCGGTGGAGGAATGCATCAAACTGCAGCTCACCATCTACTTTGATGTCAAAGGTCATCCAGATGAGGTAAAACTAACAAACAAACTGAGACTTGACGTTGTGTAAACTGTCATTTATACTTTGCTGATTTAATAAGGGTCCATCCATACATAGATTGTACTGTGTTTCTATACAAAATGACCCCAATATGTCTGCTTTGGCTTGACAGACTTGTTTAAACAGTGTAATGTTGTATTAGTTCACAGGATGGAAACTAATTCATTCATTTAGTACCTTAGTGCTGTGTTGCTTTCTAAGGGTTTCACTATTGTGCATAACACTGCTACAAAAGCAAATGACCACAAATGAGATGTAACTTTTAATTCTAGAACCTTGTGTATTACATTAATTAAACAGCGGTGGTTTATTTATTAGGGAACTCATTGCTAGTAGCATGCATTATCATTATCAGCAAGTCACAATTACTTTGCAAACAATGAAATGTGGTGTAAGGTGTCCACAACACATGTTCCAGCTCACTTTGTACTCAAACAAACCCCCAAAACACACACAGACACACACTTCAGTTTCCCACACTGAGGACGGTGCCACAGAATGTTTTGTTTGTGTGACAACAATTTGCATCATTACTAAATGTTTGTGCTCACAACCTGAAATGCTATTTCTGAGCAGAAAATGTGAGTTTATTGTCTGTTTCATTTAAACCCAAACTGAGCCAGAAACAACAACCGTCTCCCAGCGTAGAGGTCCAGTGAAGTCATTTGCCACTTAACCAGCAGTGTTTTCACCGTTTCATTCTGCGTTTTAAGAAGATTTTAGCCACTTGATGAGTCAGCACATTTCTACATCAGTGAGGAATGCAGAGCTGCTGTGGTGGTTATTGTTTCAGGCTCTGACATTCTGGAGTTGAGGGCCTGCAGCGGTGGGACGTCACATACACAGCTGCTAGTTAGCACCAAGTGGCCGGACAGGACACCCACAAAACAACAACATGAAGCGTCACAGGCTCTGTAGCTGACTGACCTCCAGTAAACATGTGTTTCTCCTCTCCACTCAGGCAGCCGCAGCTCTTAAAGACTTGTATAAGAAACATCCAGTCCTCTACAACAGCAGCATTGTCTGCTCCTTCGAGCCCAAAGTCATCTACAGGGTAAGAGGATGATGTGCAGTGCACTGTCAGTGTACTGCTGCTCAATGGTTGGTTCTGCAAAACAGTTAAAATGCCAGTAAGCACACTGTTACTGAGGGTATTTTTTATTTAATTCAATTTTGTTTAACAAGAAGACACTGTGGAAAACTAGTAATGTGAAATACAAAGGGCGTGGTTCACAAACTAAATTGGTGGCTGTGCACTATGTTCTGTTAATCACCCTGCACATATTGCACAAGAAACACCAAAAGAAATGGTTTGTTAGGGTCAGCCTGCTTACATTTTCCCTACATGAACATTATACCATCAACTTCTACCATAAACTAAGCTTCCAGGTTATCTACAAACCCCGACCGCTTTGGGAAGCAGTTTTTCTTTTTCTTATGTTAATTTGTGTCACCTCAGTCTGTTTTACTTTGCAGCAGTCGTTACACACTCAGGGGATGTGCTCGCAAATACCACATTCTAATTGGTCAAACAATAGGAGCACACATTCTTTTTTTGTGAAAATTCTCAGTGCTTCAACTCTGCCTCTCATTTTCATTCACTACACCTGTGATTATGTCAGCTGGGACAAGCAGAGCACAGCTGTTGTGGCTCAGACTGACCCAGTCAAACCTATGCTTTTGAATTTATATTTTTCACAGACAGAGACATAAAATTCAAAGGCAGTTTTAAGTGAAACATTATTCTAATAAAAAAGTTTGTTCAGTGTTGTCTCAGGTAGACTGTAAAAAAGGACAAAAAAAAGTTTTTCACGAGACGTGAGATTTTAGTTGTGAATCACTGCACTGTCTTATAAATAATATCCATCCATGCATTATCTATACACCACTTAATCCTCACTAGGATCGCGGGGGGCTGGAGTCTGTCCCAGCTGACTTGGGGTGAAGGCAGGGGACACCCTGGACAAGTCACCAGTCTATCACAGGGCTACACTTAGAGACAGACAACCAAGCACACTCACATTCACACCTATGGACAATTTAGAATCACCAATTAACCTCAACATGTTTTTGGACTGTGTGGGAGGAAGCCGGAGAACCCGGAGAGAACCCACGCTGCACGAGGAGAACATGCAAACTCCACACAGAAAGATCCTTGGCCGGGACACAATCTTCGAGGTGAGGTGACCATGCTAACCACCGAGCCCCTGTGCAGCCTTTATACATAACATGCTGCTGATTAAACAAACTGAAATATTTCCTCACATTGTTGCGGTTTATTCACCAACACTTTGTCTTCAACCCCAAAACCAGATGAGACAGAGTGACCCAGAAGTGGTCACAGCGCTGACCCACCGTCCGTGGAGTCTGAGTCGGCTCGGAGACGGCACCCCACGCTTCCCGTCGCTATGGAAACACCACTGGATGACACTGATGGACATCCTGTTGGACTGGGCGCACCATCACGTGTTGTGGAAGCTGTGCGGCATCTCAGCCTTCCTGATACAGAAGAACTTTGTTTCACCGTGAGTTTCATGTGTTAGAATCTAAAGTCAAGATATATCGACTGTGAAAGGACTTTTTTAGACACTTCAGGCTATTTTTCGGGGTACGACAAACTGAAATTCTTGTTTTTAAACACTGTAACACAACACTATTAGGTGCCATTTAAGGACATTGCAATTCTTTTTATTACATCCTGGTTTTTATGTTTTGTTAAATATCACAGGACATGCTGAGGTGTTCTGAGTACATTCCTGATGAGCCGTGAGTCGGGCTATTTGCTTTAAAATAGCATCACGTTGACAGAACCGCTGTTTGTGTACGCTGTCTGCAGGTACTACGTGCAGTACTGGGCCCAGAGGGGGGTGGAGGTTGTCGCCTGGACCGTCAACACAAAAGTGGAGAAAGATTATTACCAGGAGCTGCTGCGCGTCAACTACATCACCGACAGCCTCGTGGAAGACTGCGAACCTCATTACTGAGAAACACACGAACCCATATGTCCACATCCGTCCTTATTTAAAAGATAAAAACCCACGTGAAAGGAACTTTTCACTCGTGTGTGGCTTCAGGTAGGAGAACAGACGCTTTTAAAGCTCACTTTTATTATTGTGAGTGTGTATTTTCTTCAAACTGATCAAGCTGGTTGCCATAATTCATAACAAGAGGCCAGTTTTCATTCTGACGACATCACTTTAATAATATAAGGAATTTAGCTCATGCATTTATAGACACTTTGATATAACGTGTTGGTAACATGCATCTGTAATAGGCCAGTATCAAACGTACTGTATTCACCAACTCAGGACTGCAGAGATTTTTTTTTATGTTTGTCTTAATTGTGTACATTTTGCTGTGTTTCAAGGCCTATATTGTCATGCACTTTTTGTGCTTTTTAACTCAACGAAGGTCATTAGACTGAAGGAAACTATGTAGAAATAGTTTGTATCACTTCTGAAAAAAGATTTCTGATCTACAGCCATTAAATACATTTTGTATATGTTTGAGAAATACACATATGGAACATTTAACAGGGTTGGCATATAAATGGTACATTTTTCTCACTGCTGTACATGTTATAAAAATCATTGTTATACATTTTAGGTAATTTTGCTCTTTGACAAATGACTAATTAGTCATGTAAAGTTGCTTCCTGGTAGTGGATTCAGACTTTTGCACCTCACTCTATCTGTTGAGCAGATAAACCATTTTTGGAAATTACTACACTGACAAGTTGCCACTGTTGTTGTTTTCTCATTTCTGTTGAAGATGATGAATTCAAATTACTCTCCAATGCAGTTTAGTAGGAAAGTACTGTGAATGGAAACGCATATGGACAGTGTGGACAGAGATTAAAACTATAGCGAATATATTCAGTAAATGGACTGTCTATAACTGATCTTTTGTAACTAGGCCGAGGCAGTACGAAGGAATTGTAACTGGTGCATCTAAATGCGTCATTGTTGAAATAAGAAATGTTAACATTCACTGTTGGAAACACTTTCAGACTAGATGTTGCTCTGAAATGAGCAAATAAGAAAGCAAATGTAGGACTGCTCTGCTGCTCTTTGACCCACATATCAACCTCAAATGCAATTTTAAAATGACTGATAGTGTTTTAATGATCAACCAAAAGAAACATGATTTATTTTGATGTTGTCATAAGACTTAAAATCAAATAAATACGTCCTAAATATTTGATTTTCTATTTTTGCATGTGTTTTTGTTGTGTCCCGGTAGAGTGGAAACATGTTTATAAAATGTTGCATGTCATTTTTAATGTGAAATTGCGGTTTGTCTTCATATGTTTTCCCACAATGACACAAAGACTTGGAGACACTTGATGGGTCCCTAAAAATGGGCCACATACGGCCTCAAGAGAACATAACAGCAATACATGTGTATTTAATCTGATAACACAACCTGGGAATGAGCCATCTGTTCAAATGGTTAGTGGAGCTAATTCTGCGTCCACGCTGCAGAGTAGCAGCTTTTGGATTGATCTGGCCGTAGTTTGGTGGCGTTAAAGCTCAGCCTGTGTAATGTGGGTTGTTGATGATTAGCCTGGAGACTCAGGTGACTGCCCCAGATAGTGCAGATGAATGGGGACTGAGTGGGCGGTGTAGTGTTGGATATCACCCTGGATAAGCCTGTCTGAGCTGCTTCTTGTCCCGGCTGATCTTCAGTAGCTAAACGCAGACGCTCAACTCCCCTTATGTGGAGCCACTCTGGTGATTTTAGCCTGAACAACTGAGGTTATCTGTGGAAATAACTCTCACATCTCAGATAAATGTTATCTGTAGATAAGCTGCAAAGAGGGTGAAAGAGAACTGAAGATAAAACAGACTCCATGCATGCTATCAGTCCTCAGAAATATCAGTTAAATGGGAAGTAGTTTCTTAGTTACTGACAAGTAAATAACTGCGTTATAATCAAGCATGCAAACTGTTAGAATAAAACCAGTTTCACCTTAGTTTCCTTCTTTACTCTCAACAGTCTTATCTGTCTGTGCCTGTGGTTTAATAGGTGAAAGGTGATCACGATGCTCCTCCCACAAACCCGGTCTGAGGGGCGTTCAGTGACGCACACAGGAGGTTTACCAGCTAAACACTGGGACACAAACAGAAACCTCCAGAGCCCAAAACAGAGGGTTTCAGAATAAAAGCCGTTCAAGGCACGAGCCTGCTTCAGAATTAGAGAATAATTTGTAAAGTAAGTTGTTGTACATGGTTTACCAACTGCACTTTAAAAGACGTATTCTTCTCTTACTGTATAATAAAGGTGACCTGATTTTTTGTGGTGCTAAAATCATCCAAAATGTAATAAGAAACTTACATATATCACAAATATATATACATACATTGCTCTGTTCTGTGAATAGTTGTACATTAAAAGAATTGTGTAATTTTTGTGTTCCAAAAGAATGAATTAACATTTGTAAACATGCTGGTTGTTAATATGTAAATTAGTACTCTTTCTGTGGTTTTACTGGCTATTATCAAGTGAAATATGTATTTAAAAAAACAAAAAACAAAAAAAGTAAGCTATCGTGACTATAAATTCTGAAATCAGTCAGTTAGAACTAAGGAAGCCTCTTAGATGAGAGGTGTAATGTCTCCAAGAACCTGACAGAAGTTGGTTCCTCCTGAAGCTCCCAGGACGCCAAGGGCAAGTTTTATTTTGAAAGTCTTACCTGGAAGCGCCGGCCCTCGTTGCGGCCGGCTTGACGCTGGCTGAGCATGGCAGCTCTCTGTCCCGGTGAAAGTAAAGTGTGCGGTGCCCTTGTGTTCCGTCAGAGAGCGGAGGAGCCGCGGTCGGTGTCGGAGCATAAGCGGAGCAGAGCGGCCAGAGAATCCGGTCCGGACCGCCACCATCCTCCTCGGCTCGTCAGGAAGCGCCTCCCCCTCTCCCCCGCCGCCTCCTGCGGGTGATCCCCAGCATGTGGAGCCGCGTTCTCCTTGAATGACCTACACGCCACCTCTGCCAGGAGCGGTCGCTTCATCCCAGCCGAGCACCTTGCGGTCGGGAGCTTGTATTTACGCACAGACGCAGCGGGCAACAGGTCACAGCGAGTCTTCTGTAGGCTTCGGGCCGACTCCGGAGCAGCTCACCCGGGCGACAAAGTCGAGTAATCCTCCCCCCCACCGTGGCAGCGTCGGGAGCAGCGGAGCGGACGGAGGAGTTGCGGAGCTGACAGTCAATGTTTGGACCCGATCTTTAACGAAACACACACCGCGGAGCTCCGTGGCGTTCACATGATGTACACAATCACCAGAGGTCCCAGCAAACTCGTTACACAACGGAGGACAGGTGAGTGAACGTTACGTAAAGCCTGATGCAACCTAACATCACCCTGGTTCTGGTGCATCAGCTCACAGAGTTCTAAAGCTTTACGTTCAATCTGTGCGTAAAAACTACAAACTGCTCTGCTTCAGGTCCAACACAACAGGTCGAGAGCAAATTCACCGACTTGAAACTCAAGCCGACGTCTTGGCTCACGTCAAAGTAAGTATCTGTTGCTCTTTTTCTATACATTTAATTGTATTTCGTGCAGCATTATTATTGTTGTTGTTATTTCCGTGCTGCTAGTTGAGTAGGCCCAAAATACTTAGCACGTGTCAGTGCGATCATGTAACACTTCGCTCCGACCTGCATCCATTATCGGACACGCCTCCTTCCGCGGCCCCTCAGTCTTTCCTCCGGACCCGCTCTCAGGTGCCATGCGTTGGGATGAAAAACTTGACGGTGCAGCCGGCTGCTCTGCTGGCTGTGCCGGCCTGCTAGAGGCCCGTGAAGCCGATTCGTCTCCCGGGGATCCCCACCTGTTCTGCTCTGAGCGCAGCAGGAGGCCTGTGCGTCCTGGAGGTGCTGCTTGGAAATGCTTTAATACCAAATGCCACTTAAAGGTGTACTGAGCCGCCAGTGTGTTTGGTCCAGTTAGATCAAACAGTCTCTAAGTCTTCCACGAGTGAAGTAAACAAGGTGGGGAGGATAGTAGAAATAGCCAGTGATGGAAGAAGTATCCTTTAGTTGAGTTAAAGTCCTGCATTAAAAAAAAATCCTACTTAAGTTGAAGCACCAGCAGCAAACTGTAAAGGTCCCATATTGGTGCCTTTTCATCACATTAATCAAATTAATGTTCCCAGAATGTGTCCTTTAGTTTTTTTTTAGGTCAAAATACTGTAAAAATGGTTAATTTCACTGTATTACTCGTGGTTTTAGTCCTCCTTTAAATGGGCTATTTCAGTGTCAGTAGCTATAAATATAAGTGAGCTGCTGCTGTCTGACCCGTTCAGGAAGAAAACTGTCTCTGTGTCCGACAGCACAGAGCAAAACATTTGATTAAACGTGTGAAGTCACTTTTAACTTTTTTCCCTGAGTGACCATTTGACATGGAAATATCACTGAATTAACTGCACAGCTGTTGTTTTTGATTTTTAAGTGTTTGGTGAGTTTGTCAGACAACGTTGAAATCAGTCAGTTTAGTGGAACTGGCTGTGAAGTGGCTGCTGGTTAACATTCAGTCTGTGAGCTGGAACCAGGAGCTATGCTGTAATAAAATGCAGGAGAGAAGCAAACGGATGTAAACAGAAGCAACCCAGTCCTTGTTTATTGGTTTCAAATCACTTTTTAAATGTCCCATATGGTGACAGTCAGTTTTTATTGTGTTTTGTGGTTGTAGATGTAAAGTGAAAGTTGTTAAGATGTGCTATCTACACTGTCTAGTTTTGGCGTCATTCATCAACGACACCAGGACTAGATAGCCTTCCAGCTTTACAAGCCGGTCATCATTTTATTGAGCTTCCCACTGAGGAAACCAGCAGTCGTCCAGCTCAAACGTTTTATAATCCTGCCTCCTTCAGCCATTCAGAAAGAGCAGCTTCCTAACAATCCACCAAGTTTATTTACTTTCTAGAGCTGCTTCGGTTCATTTTAAAATGCCTCAGCTACAAGAAAAGCACACCAAATGCTCTGCTGTTGGCTGCAAGAGTGAACACAACAGTCTTCATGCTCTCCAAGAAAAAGAGGAACTGAAGACCCAGTGGATTACTTTTATTATTGATGGCAAAGTCACCAAAACAATAGGAACATCCTTAGTGGTAGCACATTGTATCCAATCTGGCTAAAGTTACCATTAGCTTGAATGAAGGAAATTCAGAGATGTTGGAAACTTGAACCAGATAAAGAAGTCTGAGTGTGTTTTCTTGTTGTCTTTTGTCCCTAAACTCAGCTGTTATAGGACTTCACATCTGTTTTCTTCTCTCCTGCTCTCTGTGCTCACTTACACGACATTTCAATTCAGCTAAATTCCCAATAAAGCCGTTCTCTTTTACATAACTTTTGTTTCCATTGTTAGACAACAAAATAAATACGAAGCAGATACTGAAAAGCAGAACTACATGTTAATCGGCATTCAGCTTTATCAAACCACGATTTATTGGCGTTTACAACTTCTAGACATATGAAATGTGACCGTAGCTACTTCTTGAAAGGCATCAGAAGTCAAAAAGGTTGGTGTTGTAGTATCTGTTGTGTTAAATTTTATTCTAAAAAGTAACTAAAGCTGTCCACTGTCTAATACATGGACTGGGTTGGAAGTTTAAAGCAGCATAAAATGGAAAAACTCTAGTGGAATTCAAGTACCTCAAAACAGTGCTAAATACAGCACTTGAGTAAATGTACTTAGTTACTTTCCACCACAGGAAACCTCAGTCCATTTCACAAACCACAGACTTATAAAATGTCAACAGGAATGACTCGGCACTTTCACAAAGCTTTCACCAAAGTGTGATGTGTTGCATTAGACTGTGTGGGTGTTCCTAACAAAAAGACACATGAGTGTATTTCTGGTGTAATTTAAGAGCAGAAAACCTACAAAAGCCAGAAATGAAACAGCAGGTTTTTGTGTCATTGCATTAATAAGAGAAAGAGCTTCTTTATAGACTTTATATCTGCACTAACATTTAACATAAACAGTGGGGAATCCATCCCAAGAGAAGATATTCTGTCATAAACTGTGTTCTTACCTGAAAGGCATTCTGACGATTTCTCTGCAGACTCCCTGATGATGAAGACTCAAGTTATTGTTTGTTTAGTCTAATGAACAGTCGAGAATTATCCGTTATAACACAACTTGAGGCTACAACGTGCTGTTAAGTCACTCTACATGCCCGTCAGTCAGCTGTGATGTTGCCTGAGACATCTTTCTTTTTGTTTTTTTTTTTACCTTCACTGTGAAATAGAGCTCCGGTGCTTCGTGTTGGTACCGACTGTCCAGATCCAGAAGCGGCTGACCTTCTGCAGTAAACTCCTCTCTGTTCATTTCAGCTCTCCGCCCCCAAAGATCGTGTTCAATCGTCTCAATGGGAAGCGCTACCACAGTGCAGCCACGCCGAAGGCGGAGAGCCCCGCGGAGGGATTCACTCCTGCACACGAGGAGAACGTCAGATTTGTGTATGAAGGTGAGGATCAAGTAGAGGGGTGGATGGTGGGAGTTTAGACCAGCAGAGAGCTTTCTCTCAAGGTTGAAGGGTCGAAGGCTGTGAGGGTTGAATGTGAGAAGTTAGGTGTTCAACAGGTTTAATCTGGATCAGAAAGATCCAGATGAGGAAATCCCATGCTTTGCTATTCAGGATCAGATAGTCCATCCTGATTTTGTGTTTTTGGGGGTTTTTTTGTTTCCAAAGAAATATCAGATTGAATCACCTTGATTAGGATACAGACTTTTCCAGATTAGCAAATCTGGGCTCTAAACAGGGCCACATGTCTCAATGTAGGTTAGTAGCTGTGTGAAAGATCACCTGTAAGAGGCAGTATGGGGTCCCTTAAAGACAGAAAAAGTACAATAAAACACTATCAATACCCCAATTCTATTTTCAGTTAAACCCTCATTTGACCCACAACAAATAAATTCAGAAGGCTACGAAATAAACTGGAGAGACCGGTTTTTAGGAAGAAAATGTAGCAAAACAACATCTGCATCATGTTGTATATATACACACACACACACACACACACACACACACACACATGTGTTTGTATTTGACACTAGACTGGTAAACCGTTACTTCGATGAACTAGATAAAGTAGACGTTAGGCCACCTGTCAGTACAGTAAAATGAAAAATTCGGATTTTGTCCTGACATGAACATATTTACCTGAACCTATCATTGATCACTCAGAGGTGATTGTGTCGCCTTTTAAAGAATACATATTGAAGGTTTATCTAATCTGATTTAAAACTTTCCCTCTTTTAAACAACCCATTTTCAAGATTTAATCCGATCAGAAATCTGATTCCTCCAGAACTACTGCTTTCTTTCTCTCGTTCTTCTTTACAACAAATTTCCTGGTTGTAAGGACTCACAGTTGAGTTTAACCAAAAAAAAAAATCCACTTTTCTCAGTATTTGCTGAGGATTGAATTATGTCGCCCTAATTGTCTATTCGGTATGTTTATTAGTTTGGTGTTTTCTGTACATGACATCCACTGCATGTCTGTGTGTTTCTTCCCAGTTAAAGCGTGTTTTGGGTGAGTTTTTCTTTCTCTAGACTCTAAGGGACAGTGTGTCGTGCTGTGTTGCTTGTAAAGCAAGCATATGATATTTGATATTCGGTGGTATAATTAAAACAGACTTGCAGCAAATGGAATCTAATGTGGCGGATATTTTCCATTTCACAATTATGTACTTTTCCAGACTCAAATTTCCAGACTCCCCTGTAGATTTTTCAGAGCGTAATTGACATCTGAGTACAAATAGCCAGGAGTTTATCATGTGAAGAGATGACTTTAAACTCTTGACTTTAACATGTATGTTACATTCTAACTGTTTGCTATGAAGCTGCCAGAAGGCTGCAGCTCTGGTTACTGTAGTTCATACAAGTCCGTTAAGAAAACACCCAGACGAGCTCAATGGGCAGCATTTTATACAAGATCGCCCTCTAATGAGAAATGAATTAAATTTAAAATTAATAAAACATGAATATATTGTTTTCCCCATTTATTTGTCCCTTTTTATTAATAAGAACCAAACTTGAGTTGATAAAAGTGAAATAATTTAATTTTCACTGCATCTGTGCAGCCTCATTCATTAACCGTCCATAATAATTAGTCATAAAGGTGTAGTTTCATAGAAAAGATCATCAGTTTAGTTTCCT